TGGGTTGGGTTAGGCTAGGATGTTGGGTTGTTAAGGTTTAAATTCTGCCTTGATCTCTGGTTTCAGTCCGTTGCGGAAAGTGACGGTGTACACGTCCTCCCTCTCACCTATTAATGCTGCGACTTCCTCGAATCGCCGACGATATCCAACACATACTCGATCTACTTCGTCGACATCAACAACTCCAAGGGACTGATTTCTTGGGTGTTGCTAAACTTCTAGAAGAGAACGACTTTGAATGCTAGCCAAGTCACTGCCGAAGTTCTTGCCTCTGTCCATTTGTACCAGTGAAGGGCTTCTCCCTCCATACACATCGCCATTGAGTAGACCTTGTGCTCCTTTACTATCTGATTAACTGAGAAATACCGCTCAGCCCAAAAAATCCAACCATATGGGCCTTTGCCAGAAAATATCAGCGGCTCAAGTCTCTGACCACCCTAATCTCTTTGATTCCCTCCATCACCATGGTTGTAGCCACCATTCCCAAGTTGCTCATTCTCATGGTGGTTCTCCTTGTTGTGTGGGTTCCTTGTTCATGAGTGGTTCCCTTCTTCCAAAATCACTTGTCTCCGGAGAGTTTCCCCTTATTCATCTTTTATTCTCATCTAGTTTTGCATTTCAACCATCATCTCTCTCATGGCATTAACAGTCTCCGTCAACCTAGTTATCCCTTTAAACCACCGTGACCTTCTTCTCCACATTATCAACTCTAGTCTCCATCCTGGTATTAACCATGCCCCATAGAGCGATAGCTTTGATACCAGTTGATGAATACCTCTTTTGCAAATCCTCTTTCTCACACACAAACCAGTACACAACTTGCACTTCTCACAACAAATACATGAATACACACAGCAACTATCTAATAAACCAATAAACAAAAAACAAGTTTCTCAAATAGAAATTTGGTATAAAATGAAGATGAATATTCATTGTAATGTTGCTGAAGTAAACGGAAACAATTGAAACAAAATGAAAAGACAGACTGGTCTTTGAGGGCTTGCAACTTTTAACCAACACAAATTTCAGAATATCCTCCCACATGCTCTCGCACTCTCCTTTATTTTGACACCAGATCCTAACTAACCTTGCCACCTGTCCATATCACCAAACTGCTCATTTTTTCCCTTTTTAGCCCTTCGTTTATACTTAATTGAAGGACTAGGTCCAATTCCATCAACCTATCATCCACAACCAAGACATAAAACTACCCCTACCCCACTAGACCACAATCAAGAATAATAATAATTAAAAAAAAAAAAAACCACAATCAATTTACAATAAAGCTACAGACACTGAAAAACTTGCACCGAAATTGTGTACCAGCCTTTGATTTTTTTAACAATTTTTTTCTAGTGAAAGGCCGTCCATACAATTTGGACGGCCGTTCACTCACATGGACGCAAGTCCATATTATATGGATGGACGTCCATATATAAGGGACAGGCGTCCCCATTTAAAGGACGCCCATCCATAAATAAAATACAATAAAAAAATTTGCAAAACATTATGGACGGTCATTCATAGGTTGTGGACGGCCGTCCCTTAATTTTGGACGAGCGTCCGCAAATACGGGACGCCCGTCCATTAAGTTTGGACGAGCGTTCGTAAGGAATGGATTAAGGGATGGGCGTCCGCAAATACGGGATGCCCGTCCAAACTTAATTTGTTTTAAAAAATAAAATAAAAAATTTGGACGCTTAAGTTTGGACGGCGCGTCCGTAACTAATGTACGAGTCCACACTTAAGGGACGGTCGTCCCTTATGGAAACAGCAAATTTAAAATTCATGAAAATGTCAAGAAACTAGAATTTTCTTGACATTTTCACTCCGATCTCTTCAGCCACGCTTCACTCAATTCAACGCCCTCCATTTCATCATCATACTCCACTCTAAAAACTCCCTCTTCATCTTTCCCAAGTTTCCCAGCCAGCTGATGAAACTCTTCCAGAACAACCTTCAACCCGTCCTTGAGTTTCTCAACCATGGCGTCGAACTCTTCGTTACTCTTATAAAGAAGCAGCTTCTGGTTGTAGTAAAAAGCTAGATATGGAAGATCGAAGGTGATCAATTGGCATTCTCTTCTTCCTATTATCTTGTTGGGCTTGACGTGGGTTTTTCCAGTGACTTTCACCTTCATTGTGTCTTGTGATTTCTTCTCCACTTTTTGGGTTGCCATTGTGACTGAGTTAAGGAGTAGTGTTGTTGAGATAGTAAAGATGGAAGAGATTGGATGAATTTTAAATTTTCAAAGATGGAATAGAAAAGGGAAAATACCCAGCTGGGGTTGTCTTCGTTTTGAGTTTCACTTAAGAGTTTGTTAGGTCAGTGCAAAGAAAAGAGAAGAAATAAAAGAACAGCGAATGAACAAACTTTTAGTGTTATTTTCTCACCCATACGATATTCGATTGCCTTCAGACTATGCAACTTAATTCTTTACGGAACGCGCTCATGTTCCTCCACTTTTCACTTCAACGGAAATCATATAAAACAGTCCATTCTCCCTTAAGATACCTATCATGGTGATGAGAGTATACTCATCAGAGCCAATTTTAGCAGCAGCAGCGGCGGCAGCGGCTGCTCCAAGCCATTCCCATTCAGAAAATCATGAAACTTTAGTACCATTACAACTATACCATCTGTCAAAATCTACGTACAATTCCATCAAAATTGATTAGGCAAGAGCTTGGTTCTCCTTGCATCACCTATTATCAGTTTCAGAAACATTGACCTTAAATACGCCATCCTCATTTTCACTGCCTGCCGCTCTCTGGTGTACATGCAGCAAGCCACCTCTATATGACATATAAAAATTCAATATATCAATCAAAATTTAATTAAATAAGATAAATAGAGGTGAAAACAAAATTTTTCGGTACCTAGCCATGATGAAAACATAATTGCCACACTGAGATATACAAAATCCAACGAGTACTGCAACAAAAATAAGTTAGAAAGTTAAAGATGAAGTAATTTACAGATTCTTGAAGAATTTTGGATACCTTTGCAATTTTGTGAGAAGCTATTTTGGGGACAAGATAAGCCAATCCAATAATATTGATCATCTTCCTGAAATATATAAAGAAAACAGGAACTGAAACCCCGTGAATAATTGCACCAATTGATCCCAAAGCCATTAACACACAGTCATAAAAATCTGCAAATGTAAATAGTTTTAGCAACAAAACTCTATTCGACTTCTTCTCTTCTTCTTTCTTTTCCTTAGTAATCTTATCATCATCTTGGTTACTTAGCGCTCTCATTTTGGCCAAAACTTGTACTCAAATAAAACAAGAAGAAGAAGAATTACCTATAATAGAATATGAGAGAAAGAATAATGGACGGCCGTCCCTTAAGTGTGGACTGTCGTCCATACATAATGGACGGACGTCCATTAGTTACGGACGCCCGTCCAAACTTAATTGTGGATGGGCGTCCAAATTTTTTATTTTACTTTTTAAAACAAGTTAAGTTTGGACAGGCGTCCATTCCTTACGGACGCCCGTCCAAACTTAATGGGCGAGCGTCCTGTATTTGCGGACGCCCGTCCACAACCTATGAACGGCCGTCCATAATGTTTTACAAATTTTTTTATTGTATTTTATTTATGGACGAGCGTCCTTTAAATGGGGACGTCCATCCTTTGTATATGGATGCCCGTCCATATAATATGGACGGGCGTTCATGTGAGTGAACGGTCATCCTAATTGGATGGACGGCCGTTCACTAGAAAAAATTGTTAAAAAAATCAGAGACGTGTTACACGTAGGCCGGTACACAATTTCGGTGCAAGTTTTTCGGTGTCTGTAGCTTTGTTGATCAATTTATTTGGGATATTTTCTTTAAAAAAACAAAAGAAAAAAAAGAAAGGGGGAAATATGGACCTATAGATCCATGTTTGAACAGGTGGTGATGCTTGAGGAGGAAGTAATGGTGGCAGGTCTTCCAAGCTATTTTGTGGTTGAAAATAGGAGGAGAGAGCGAAGAAGATGAGGGGCAGTGAAATGGAAAAGGAGAGAAAGTAGAGGTCGTGGTAAGATGGAGGCATTAAAGATAGATACAAAGTTTTATTTGGGAGAAGAGATAGAAAGGAAGGAAGAAAGTAAGAAACTTTATAATTTGTGCGGAAAGAAAGAAAGAAAAGAAGAAAGAAAGAATAAAGGGGAGAGAAAGAGAAGAATTAGGGTAATGATATATCGACCTTGAGTAAGCTCGCGAGTTGCTCGAATCGAGCATTGAGAAGCTCGACTCAACACATGAGCTACTTGAACTCAGGCTCAACTTGAGTCGAGCCCAAGCAACTCACGAGCAGCTCAACTTGTTTGTAACCCTATCTTTAATTACAATCTTTGTAATTAATGAAAATTATAATCTCAACAAAAGAATTTTTGTACATACAATTTTCACTATATACAAAAAGATACTAATCAAAGATAATATCATTTTCCCACCCATCCAAACATCACCTACTACAACTAAGAAAGCAATCCACGAAATCTCATGGTTGGATATTTTGTTTACAAAGATCCATTTATTATCCATTATTGTAAGGATAAAAGCATAATACTATATTTGATTAATGATTAAGGATAATATTGTCTTTTTGTTTTTTTTTTTTTTGGGTGTGAAATGTCATCCTTTCTAGATATATTGTTATATACATATCTGGATAATTTAAGTGTTATCTTTAATTGTGACTGACTGTTATGTGATTTTTTTTTTTTTTTATGGATTTTTAATTAATTTTGAAGAAATGACCGTAAATTTATAATCTTAAATTCAACATAAATGGATTGAATTTTAATTTTTTAGATTTTATACATTTTAAAGACGGGTGTTTATAATACATTTATGAGAACGCCATCTGACCGTACATCTCTTACCGCGTTGCTAGGTAATGCTTACCATACATCTCACCGCACCAAATCAGAACCCTAAAACCCTCTTACTTCTAACACCAGCTCGTCCTCTTTAGTCTCTCCTTAAACCCTACAAACCAAACTACAAAATCACAGTCACATTCGAGCTCCGTTCTCTTTCAATCCATCAATGTCCTCATTGGCCACCAAAACCCACCCGCTTCTAACCTCTCTTCCGAACTTCCTCACATGGCGAGCCCTCGGCTTCCGCACAATCTGCAGCGGTCGCCTTGGCTTCGCCTCCTCCGACCCCGGCCCTGACCCGCCCGCCCCGCCCGTGGCAGGTACCAAGGTTCTAGAAACCTTCAAAGAAGAGTTCGAAATTGGATCACGCTTAATCACCCTTGAGACTGGAAAAATTGCCCGCTTCGCAAATGGAGCTATCGTTTTGGGCATGGATGAGACCAAGGTTTTGTCCACCATTACCTCCGGTAAAGGAGACGCAGTTCGCGATTTTTTGCCTCTCACTGTATGTGTAATTTTTTCAAATTTATATTTTTTGAATTATTGATGGGTGTATTTTGTTTCAATTTTTTGTGGTATTTTTGTATGCTTAATTGGGTGTAAAGACGCACTACATAAGTTGTAACATTAGCGATTGGAAAGAAATTGAAGAGTTGAAATTCACAGAAGAAGATAGACTTGTAGTTCGAGACTGGTGAACACTTTTGGGTAGAGTGGGAGTTTTAATGGGCGCTTATTCAGAGGTGACAATATCAGAAACATATAATGTTGAAACTGACAACGATAATCATGAAAACTAATATTATAATATAAAAACAAAAAATTGGTAAAATTGACAGGAAGAGAATTGTCAACTCCCAACATTAAGATATAGAAGGCCCTTGTTGTGAAGTATATAATTTTTTCTATTGTCATCTTCCTAAGAACTCTCTGTTTTTGGGAGATTCATTTTGTGAAAGCATTTGTGTCTATTGATCACTATAGGTTTTTTAATTGATATGTCTTTATATAGGTTGATTATCAAGAGAAACAATATGCCCAAGGTATGATTCCAACTACTTTCATGCGGAGGGAGGGTGCTCCTAAAGAACGAGAACTTTTATGTGGTCGTCTCATTGATCGGCCCATACGACCACTATTTCCAGCAGGATTTTACCATGAGGTTCAGGTATGATGTTGCAAGTAGTTTTGGTTCTATTGCTTTCTGGAAGTTTCTGTTGACTTTGATATTTCTCAATTCAAGGTAATGGCAAGTGTTCTTTCATCTGATGGGAAACAAGATCCAGATGTAATGGCAGCTAATGCAACATCCGCTGCTCTTATGTTATCAGATATTCCTTGGGGTGGTCCCATCGGTGTTATACGTATTGGGAGAATTGCTGGACAGTTTATTGTCAACCCAACCGTGGATGAGGTAAAAATTGACTTGATTATTGTTTGTCTTTGCTTTCCCCTTTTAAAATGTTCTGTTGATTGTCTATCTGCTAATTTTCTCTTAACAAAAATGTATCTTTTTTTTTTTTTTTCAATTTCCTAAATGATTTTTCATGATTGAAGTCTCAGATGCTGTTATTTCAAATTCTTCTGTAGTTTTTCTGATTTCTTCTATTATGTATCCATAAAATATTTTTCACCTTTTTGCACTGATGATTCCTTAGGCTCTTTTTCTGTTTTCGTTGTGTACTTATAGAGTGTTATGTACTAAACTAATATTTTGTTGCATTCTTTAGTTGTTGCTTATACTTTCAGTATGATTTTTTCCAAACTGTAGTTGAAGCGGGTTTCAAGTTTATGAAACCCTGAAACTGGCACTATTAACACCAACTCTCTCATACTTTGTTTGTCTTATTTTTTGGATTGATGGTTTCTCAATATAATGCAGCTTAACTTGAGTGATCTCAACTTAGTATATGCCTGTACAAAGGACAAAACTTTGATGATAGATGTGCAGGCACGTGAGATCTCAGAGAAAGATCTAGAAGCTGGATTAAGACTAGCTCATCCTGAGGTCAGTTATCAGGATTAGACTTTGAAGAGTATCTCTCAGTTTCTCTTTATCTTAGAATGTAATAACTGGATTGGTTTTGGTAACTCAGGCGGTTAAATACCTTGAACCTCAAATCAAACTGGCTGCGAAAGCAGGAAAACATAAGAAGGAATATAAATTGTCAATGATCTCAGATAGAGCTTTGGAGAAAGTCAGTAACCTTGCTGCAGCACCTATTGAAGCTGTTTTTACTGATCCATCATATGGCAAGGTGTGCTCCATCTTTCTTGGTGCAGCAGATTTTAATCAAAGAATTCTTTTGGGGTCTATTATTGTCAGATTTTACTTGCTTACATGTGTATTGTATGTGTGCACACATCACCTCTGTGTGCGTGTGCATTTACATGTGATGACATGGGTTATTTCTGTTAAAATGTACTTTTGATTATGCAGTGGTAATTTTTTCTCTTATTCTTCCAGTTTGAACGTGGAGAGGCTTTAGAAAAGATTGCACAAGAAGTGAGAAAAGTTCTTGAAGAAGAGTGTGATGAAGAAAGCTTAAGTGTCCTACCAAAGGCAGTAGACACTGTGAGGAAAAAGGTAAGGTTTGACTCAAAGAAGGAAACAGAGTTGTGGGAGCTGTTGGAGTTGCTTTTCTTGTGATGATCTTGTTTATGACTGATTTTGTGATTTGATTGTGTTCCTTATAATTTTTTTAGTATTCTTTCTCTTGTTCTGAAAATTTTAGATTTTGCTCATGAATTATTACTGAAGTACATGTTCTTATTCACCCCATTTCTGTAAAGAAGTATATTTGCTAGTTCAGGGCTGGCCTCTATCATAGTTTTGAAAAATCTATAACTTGTGACTTGTCATGGATGATATAATTGAGCTGAAAGTGATATCATTATAACTTCTTTTTTTGATATTTGGGATTTTGGGAGAAATGCATTCAAAGTAGTCGTTTGTATTGCCATTTAGAGAGCCATTCTAATCTAACTAGAGTTATATCATCTTTTAAGATTGGCTATATTTTAAACCTAGTAAAAATATCAGGTTGTCCGCAAAAGGATTATTGCAGAAGGCTTCAGGGTTGATGGGAGACATCTTAATGAAGTTAGGCCTGTTTATTGTGAAGCTGGTAATTTACCTATATTGCATGGATCAGCACTTTTTTCTCGGGGAGATACCCAGGTCAGTTGACATTATTTTGTTTCATAACCTAAATCTTTAAATCTTATAATTATAAAAAAAATCAATATATGCTTATGTCTAAATAAGTTTAATTTTCATAACATTTATATTTATATAAAACAGGTCCTTTGTACTGTGACACTTGGATCACCTGCAGATGCTCAACGATTGGACTCCCTGGTTGGCCCCCCAACAAAGCGATTCATGCTTCACTACAGTTTTCCACCTTTTTCAATCAATGAAGTTGGTAAACGACTTGGCCTAAATAGGCGTGAAGTCGGTCATGGTAAAAATGATTTTCACTTTCTCTTTTGCTATGCCCTGATTGTCATATGAATCCAGTAAGAATGGCTTGTTGGGCTTGATTTGTCAATTTGACTTTTTGAGGATGCACCAATAGATTGGCTGCTTGAGTTGACATCACATTGTTTAGCTTATTCTTTCTTGACTAGTTTATATGTCTCTCTCTAGTCCATCAACAGAGAAGTATATGCGATGTCAAAAATATAACGGGAACTTAATTTGATAGAATATGACTCAGTTTGGCCTAGAAGTTGGGTTAGGGGGCAGGGGTAGCTTCAAAACAGTCAGCAGTCACTGAACTAGGTTGAGATGCCTTTGACTGGTTGGTAAAAAGTGGAACTAGCCTCTGAAGCCAAAGCCTAGTTGGATAGTTTTCCTGTTCTTCAGGTCTCATGCATATGAACCTGGGGAAACTTACAGCTTAGATAGGATGGCATGAACTCGAGGGCTTGAAACATAATATCTTTGCTAATGCTTACTTCTTAGTATTACTTTTCTGTTACTGCTTTTAGCTCTCTTCCATTTGTTTTCATTTAGGATTGAGTTTTTCTTTTTAATTTTTGCTGATTTCAAAATGTGGGAAACATGTAATGCTCCATGGCTCTCTTAAGTGAGCCATTACTATGCCATTCTGGTTCCGGGCATTGACCCAATAACTTAATTACCCATATTTCTTCTCGCAAAGCATCTTGACAGTTGAATCTAGCAATAGAATGCTTAATTTTTTTATTCTATTTTATTTATATGTGAAATCACAATAACTTATAACTAGTTTCTGTAATGTTTGTAGGAACTCTTGCAGAGAAAGCTCTGCTTGCTGTGTTGCCTCCTGAAGATGGTTTTCCATATACTGTCCGTGTGAATTCAGAGGTCATGGCCTCTGATGGTTCAACATCCATGGCAACTGTCTGCGGAGGTATCTATTCAATTATGTAATTTTGTTGTCTGCTTGGAAAACTTTGGGATCTTACTTTCTTTATATTCAATAATTGTGCATTTAAAATAGTTTTCATGTTGGTAAGGAGTACCTGATAAACCTATTCATCTTATGTGTCTGGATTGATTATGATACTAATGGTGTCTATAACCTTCAATACCAATGATGATTTGGTGTTTTGGTTCTCTGAGTTAAATGTTTATTATGATGCTTTTAAATTCTTGTAGGCAGTATGGCTTTGATGGATGCTGGTATTCCAGTACGAGAACATGTAGCTGGTGTTTCAGTTGGTCTTGTCAGTGAAGTTGATCCATCAACTGGTGAAATTAAGGACTACCGTATATTGACTGATATATTGGTGAGATTTTGACTTGGCATGTTTCACTTATTGCCTGGGTGGTGGTGGTGGTGTTGTTGAAACATATTCATTCAGATATTATTTTTCATAGAAAGTTTTCAAGAGCTTTTAGAAAGTTTTAAATGGTATTGCTCTTTCTATACTAATTGTAAATAGTGTCTTTATTGCCTTTAGAAATTTTAAAGTTTTGGAATTTACCACAATATAGCAAGTAATTTGGTTCTTTTTAGGGGGGCTTTATTATGGTTTTTAGATAGTTATTTCTTATATGTTTGCTTTGTTAAGTATCAGCTAACTCTGTTTTAGAGTTTATTGAATATTTTAGTTTTTTACAGGGTCTGGAAGATCATTTAGGAGACATGGACTTCAAAATTGCTGGCACTCGAAAAGGAGTTACAGCAATTCAGTTGGATATAAAACCTGCTGGAATTCCTTTAGATATTATTTGTGAGAGTTTAGAGCATGCACTTAAAGGTCGTCTTCAAATCCTTGATCACATGGACCGGCAAATTAGTGTAGCACGGACTCGAGATGATAGAAATTCACCTCGTCTAGGTTAAAGTTCACCATGTCCATTGTGCTTGTGATTTTACTATTAACGAGTAACCATCAGTTTGGTGCTGAGTCTTTTCTCCGTAGCTGAAAATTTATGATCTATCATGCAGCTACCTTGAAGTACAGCAATGACACTCTTCGCCGCTTGATTGGCCCGCTAGGTGCTCTCAAAAGAAAAATTGAAGAGGAAACAGGTTTAATACAAATTAAGAATGCATTACTCATGTTTGTCATTTGAGCTGGAGACAGCTTAAACTTGCTTTTTTCCTTCTTACTTGAGATTTATATTACTTTGTCCTGACTTTTAGATAATTATTAATCTTCTGCTTGTAATTCAGGTGCACGGATGGCTATAAGTGACGGAATGCTTACTATAGTTGCTAAGAATCAGGAGGCGATGGAAAAAGTACAAGAAAAGGTACTTTTTGCATTTTTTTGTTCCTCTAGTTAGATTTAAATGTGCTTTTTCGTATGAGTCGCAACATTTCATTTGAAATGGTTGTATGTGATTGTATTAAGTAATATAAAGGTTCAAAATTTTCGCGAACATCTCTGTAGTCCCTAAAATTGAAGATCCAGCATCTGTACAAAATCCATGCAGAACTTTTAAAAATTCACTTCTCTAAAATTCTAATGGTTTGAGATTTCTTTATTCATTTTACCATTCTCCTTGCTAATGGAGTTGCATTTTTGTAAATTTCTTGGAGGAGATAGAACTTTGTTTAAACTTTACTGCTCTGCTTCAATAGACCTTAGTAAATGTTTTACACTGCTCAGACCGTATGCATCTGATACTTTCTATTCCATTCATATTCAGATTCCATATGGTGTAGCTACTGGTGATTGGTCTGCTTGTTCTTTCTGGTTTTTACATATTTACATTCTGAAGTTATCTTGCCCTTCAGGTTGACTTCATAATTGGCCGTGAGATTGAGGTTGGGGGTGTCTATAAGGGTGTTGTAACATCAGTCAAAGAATATGGTGCCTTTGTGGAGTTCAATGGTGGCCAACAAGGCCTGCTACACATTTCTGAGTTGTCGCATGAACCGGTATGTAATGAGCAGTTGTAATTTTCTTTCTCAATGGCCAACAAAGTCCATCTTTTATAGGAGCTTTGAACTGCAGAAAAAATTGCCTCGAAGTAACAAAGTTGCCAATGGTTTCGAGAGAGTTCTGTCGATTGATACCTCTGTAGTGTTACTTTGAATGGAAAATACCCATTAATTTATTAAAATATGTTAGATGGATAAAAAGTGCTCATAATATGATACTGCTAGGTGGTCCAAAGATACGTCTTTGAAATGGTTATAGTTAGACAAAGGATGCTAATATAAATTTGAGGTTGGCTAATTATAGTGATGATGCTTTTATTAGGTCTCTCGGGTTTCAGATGTGGTGTCCGTTGGCCAGCAGCTCTCTTTGATGTGCATAGGGCAAGATGTTCGTGGTAATATTAAGCTATCCCTTAAAGCGGCTTCACCTACACCTGGAGCTGAGACAAAGAAAGTGGTTGAAGAATATGTTCCAGTCTGCAAAGAAGCTACTAACGGTTGGGCATCAGTTGGAAATGTCTCTGATGGGCAAAACCAGGAGTTCCCAGAGAGCAAAAGTGAAACTAGTGAGGCAAACTCATATTCTTCCTCAACCCCAGCAATATTAATTCGAAGTGCTGCAGAGTGTGATGAGGAGGAAAAATCTTCTGGTTTGAGTCAGAGATCAAAGAGAAGATCTAAAACTGTGGCTTCACAAAGTAATAGGAAGCCAAAAAAATCTATGCCTCAAATTGCTGCATCTGGTGACAACAGTGATAAGAAAACCAAAGTTGAGAGTCTTATTTCTACAAGAAATCTGAAGCTTGGAACAAAGGTTACTGCCAAGGTTTATCAAATTCGTGCACGTGGGTTAGTTCTTGATTTGGGTGGTGGAATTCGTGGAATGTATCGGTTTAAGGTATGTATCTCTCATTGCTTTTGAATGGAAATTTGCCATAACAAGGTTGATGGTGTTGATATGATGATGCCTGGTATTTTTTAGTTAATTTTTACATTCTCTCTTTATTCATCCCAACCTTTTGCATTCACTTACTAGATTCCAGTTTTCCAATGCACAAAATCAAAGGCCATATGATTCCTTCCTGTTGCTATATCTGTGCATATTTGTTTGGTTTGCTTTTTTGGTTACCTTCCTGGATTTTTCTCAAGTATACGTTTCTAAATAACTAAATCATCATTGAGAGATGAGTGCCTTTGCAATGCACGTGATTCATCTTTATTTTTTAAACAAAATTACTTAGTCTCCTGTCCTTCCTTTACTACCCCCACACACCACACACCACCCCCACCCCCACAGCCACACCACCTAAAAAAAAAAGGTTCTAGTGACCAAATAATCTTTAATGAAACCATTGTGATCATAGTGGATTTTTGAATCATGCTGTAATCGGAATTTGATAGATCCCTTTGGTTTCAAGGATATGAATTTTCTGTTTCACATGTTTTAGTCCATGGGTAGATTTCTTATTTAAGCAGAGTAACGTACTTGGTAATTTGACATGTTATTACATAATAGTAAATGAGTTTGAAACTTCTTATTCAAGAAGAGCTGGTGAAAGCTTTATTTTTCATCTGAAATGGTTATATCTTCTTATTGGCTTCCAAGCAGGCAAATGGCAAGAAGGAGTTCAGGGTAGGCGATGAGTTGCTGGTAAAGTGTTCAAGTTTTACTAGCAAAGGGATTCCAGTCTTGTCTTCAGTCGATGAATAATATTTACGTTGACTTTCCTTGGCAATACATTTTATGCATGGCGACTGGCTAACATTGATTCGAGGGAATATTTGTGCCAGCAGCAAGGAAGCAAAACATGGGCACGCTATTGCAGAACAGAGTTGATGAGGCTATTGAATGTTCAGCAGGCAGCAAGGTGGATGAAGCCTGAGCGAATTCTTGTTAACTGGATAAATCTGCACTGCTGCCCTCAATTCAACATTATATCCATACGAAGCACTCCGAACACTCACTGCATTATGGTTGTGAAGGGATCTGCCATAAGTTGAACCCATGATTCAGCATTTTGATCGACCTCAAAGTTTAGGTTAGGTATGGCTTTTTTGCATGTATCCATTGTAAATTTTAGGTTGAACATTATTACTAAGAAAATACTGCTATATTTGACTTGTGTCAGTGGGGTTGATAAGGTTGCTTTCATATATATTTAAGAAGCATTGGAGGGAACCCAGTTTTATAATGTTTGGAGGATTTGGAACCATGGCAAATAAAGTCCAATGGAATCGGAAATTTTCACATGTTCAACCTGCTTCCATGTTCTCACTTATGCATCACAAAGCCATTTTGGTGTCCTCCATCCGTTTCTATAGCATCTCCCTCTCATTAATTTATGTTTTGTGCTTTCAAACTACATACAAGGGCTATATTTCTATTATTTCAAAAAATTTAGAGAGATTTTTGTTATTTAATCAAATCTTAGGATTAATATTTATTTAATACCATTAAGTCTAGTTGTCCAATAACATTTTTTTAAGTGTCAAAAAACTATCAGATTATGGTTTATCTAATTGAACGGCAAAAACGAAATAAATTAATAAAGAAAAGATTCTGAAAACAGATAAAGACATGGCATTTGCAATTGCATGGCCAAGAACTAATAAAAGGATAAAGAAATTAAACTGAAAGTTGACAGAATTGAGTTGTATTGTCGTGTTAATTAGCTTTCACTGTTTGCAGTTGCCACCTCCCAAATATTACAAACAATCTCCTTATTTTAACACCACAACTACAACAACTCTAAATATAACCAAAACAAAGAAGACAACCAATGAGAAATCGGAATTTTCCCTTCAACAAATAAAGAAAAATTAAATACACATTCCTAAAATCCCCTTGTTTCTCTCCTTTTCTTTCTCTCATGGAAAATCTCAACCTAATCGTCCCGTTGGTCATCTTGATTTCTGTAGTAACTCGTGCAGACCCCAGAACTAACATGGTAGAACATTTCTGTGAAAAAATGACCGAAAAAGATGCATCAAAATTTCCCATTCATAACTACTCAGGTTTCATGGATGGATTGAAAGAACAGCTAGGTCGAGACAAGTATGTGTCTTGTACAATTGGACCTTCCTTAAAAGTTTATGTGATATCACAATGCATGGAAGATCTTTCTGATAAAGAATGCAGAGTATGCTTCTCTCAAATTATCAACGTCTTGGCCAATTGCTTTCCAGCTTCCAGCGCTCGTGTTTATCTTGATGGATGTTTCATGAGGCTGGAGAATTACAGTTTCCATGAAGAATCTATCGGGTCTATTGATGTCACGGTGATAAATCTATTTCGCTTTTCATTTTATGCTTTGGTCAATTTGTTTGGTTTTTCAATTAATTTAACATGTTGTATTACAACAGAAATGCGGCCAGGATACGGAACCTGAGAAGGTATTCAAAGAGCTAGTTGAAGAGGTGATAAAAAATATCGTCGAGAAAGCGCCGATGGATGAGAGAGGGTTTGCAGTGTTCAAGGAGACTAGAAATGGCATATCCGCATACGGTATGGCGACTTGTTGGAGAAACCTGGACAAAGATATGTGTTCAGAATGCTTAAACGAGGCAGCTTCAAGTACAACATCTTGCTTGCCATCAGTGGAGGGCCGTGTGCTCAATGCCGGCTGCTTTTTGCGTTATTCTCATTATCAATTTGCCAATAATATGCAATTCAGTAAAAACGAAAGCCATGGTATGATATGAATGTTATATATAATCAATTGCCTCCTATATATACTAGTATCAGAAAAATATTTAAGAGATATATTTCTCAAAAACAATCAATATTTCTAATTGATCATTTTCCTGCAGCTCAAATATGGTTGTACATTACATATGCTATTTCTGCGGTTATAATATGCATAATGGCAATTGGCCTGGGATTCTTTGTGGGTAAAGTTACTTACAGAAAGATGGTTTTCAGGAAAATGCAAAAAGGTAATTCATTTTATAATTTCCTCAGATTAAGCTCCTCCATTGAAAAGTTTAAATGCAATTACTATTAATTCCAAAAATGAACTTAATTTTTGTTTTTTTTTTTAAATATATAAAGAGTCGGAGATGGACTTATCAGCATTACATAAGAGCTTGCAGTTCTTGCAGTTCAAGTACTCAACACTAGAGAGAGCAACAGACTCCTTCAGTGAATCTAAAAAGCTCGGTCGTGGAGGATTCGGAGAAATATTTAAGGTAACTAAATAAATTCCTCCTCAATTGTCATCTTTTTGATACCTAATGGGCATGAATCTGAGCAGGGAACCTTGGCAGATGGTAGAGAAATAGCAATAAAACGTTTACTATTAAACAGAAAGAATCAAATTAAGGCGATTTGCAATGAAATGGATATCATGAGTCGAGCTCACCATAAGAACTTGGTTCGTTTTCTCGGTTGCTGTTTCACAAAAGCAGACAGCTACGTTGTCTCTGAATACGTTGCAAACAAAAGCCTCGACCGAATTTTGTTTGGTAAGCAATCTGATTAATCATGCATAATTAATAAATTAATCTCTTGTAACCTTTTTGCTACACATGGAAGAAAGACCCTGAGGAGAAGAAGGAACTAGATTGGAAGAAAAGGCTTGCAATAATCATTGGAACGGCTGAAGGTTTAGAATATCTTCACCGCTCTGACGTCCAGATTATTCATCGCGATATTAAAGCAAGTAATATTTTGTTAGACTTGAAACACAGACCAAAAATAGCGGATTTTGGGCTCGCCAGGTTTTGCTCAAGCGAGAAATCCCATTCGCTCAGCACCCCCATTGCCGGCACATTGTGAGTATTATATATACATACACTGATGATTATATTCCTTAAAATTTCATTTTCATAATCAAATTTTATTTCTTTAGAGGGTACATGGCTCCTGAATATATCGTGAACGGACGATTAACTGAGAAAGTAGACGTGTACAGTTTTGGAGTTCTTGTACTTGAAATCGTTAGTGGAGTACAGAATAATAAATTTCAGTCAGAGAATTGTTTCGAAACTGTAGTTACTAACGTAAGTTTCGAAAAAGCTTTTACCTGAACATATAATAAAAACGACAAGTTCCATCATTTTTTTTGGTTCGAAAATTGCAGACATGGAAGCATTTCCAGGCAAACACAGAATCAGAAATAATAGACAAAAGCATGAAGAATATGGAAGAATACAGAGATGAAATAGAAAGAGTTGTTTGGGTAGGTTTATTGTGCACACAAGAGTCACTGGTTCGTCGTCCAACAATGACAAGCATCATTCAAATGCTTAAACAAAAGGATACTCCATTGCCGCTTCCATCGAGGCCTCCATTTATGGACGAATGGATGGAGTTAATGTCACCTTCGGCAGGCTTGGCCTCTCGCCGCCAATCCTTACAAAAATCTTCATAGGATTTTAGATGAAGGTTTAGTATTAATTAATTAATTAACTCATTGTCGTGTAATCACATGTTCATATTAGTTTGTATTATTTGTTTACTTTTCTTTGTTTTTTATTTTTTTCTTAGCTTTATACATGATAATTGATAGCCCATCACTTTGAATTTTGTTCAATCAAGTCCCCACCATGAATTAAATCAAGCCGGCACCTCCTTTTTGGCCTTCTAGATGCATTTTTCACACTTTATTTTTTATATTAATTTAGTGCACAATAGTCTGTGTTATTAGCACCGTATTCGATGGATGTTAATCTAATTGTTGACATTACTCAATAATTACAAAAAAATTTCTTGTTAAATATATGATATTTAAACTAAAATTATCAAAAAGATTGTACCAAACATATCCCTTTATTTAATGATAATCAAAATAAAATAAGGATAGTTGGAGGACTCATCATCGATAAATATAGTTAAAGTGTACTTTAACCTCAAGGGGTTAGCCTAACAGTCTAGAAGATTTGTTTTTTTGATTAACTTCTTGAGTTCGAATCTTAAGATCATCTATTATATTTATGATTTACCTGGTCATTTAGACTTGTAGGGTATTCAAAATGGACTATAAGATTAACCGAGGTACATGTAAGTTGACCCCGGATACTCCGGTTAAATTTAAGCTAATTTATAGTTTACAGATTAAGATTGTTTACCTGAAAGAGTCGGCAGGGTTAATAACATAAATTACAGTAATTAAATAAAATAGAAAATGAGTGGATTAGCACATGCATGGTGGTGGAGATTTAGATTATGAAAGGCTGAAATGTCAAAGTGCAAAAAGGAAGAATGACATCATATATTCACAAAACAAAGAGAGGGACCCTCACTTGCCAATCTTTATCTTCACTCCTTCACCCTTACAAACAAAGTTTCTACCTTTATGTCTCTTTCAAACTAGAAAGTTGCATTGCTTCTAGATTCATTATCTAAACTTGTAATTCTTGTATTGCAGATACCAAAATTTGGTCCCTTATGTTAGTTTGAAAAGAGAAGTTGTAGTGCTTCTAGATTAAAGCAACCATGATTGGGTTTATATTATACATGTTTATAGATTGACCCCAATTCTCATATCGTACCCATATAATATCTAAATGAATTCCATTTCAATTTGCCAACGTAAAGCTACACCTTACTTTTCTAAACCCGGGCAGCCTTTTATGCAACTTTCATATAGTTTGCAAAAGAGAAATTATTGACATTTATAAAGGTTGATATACATACAAATATTTTAATGAAAAATTGCAAAACATATTACAAAGTTAAGTATAACAATACATATCTCAAAAATAAATTTAGGGTTTGTTTTATATATTAATTAATGATTTTGGGTCTTTAACTTTTTGCAAGGCAGATTCACATGAAACTCAAATAAAACATGCCTAGCAAATAATTTCTATCACATTCTCACACTACATCATGATGATAGAGGGGCATGCACTCTTGAGTGAATTTTTTTTTTGTTTCTTTTATATTTATAAAACAAACATAAACATAAACATAGACCCTTAATGAAACCAAAGGGAATGAAAAGAGGTCCTTCATGACATAGATTAGAAACCGACCTTGTGTGAAACGAAGAGGAAATACTAGTGAGCGGTGAGTGTTGTTGGGTTTGATTGTTATTGAACACCAAACAAAATATACTTATAGTGTGCCAGCCAGGTCAGTCGGGTATGCTGTATGCCTTTCCCTTTTCAACTCTTTTCTCAGCTGTCAAATTTCTCTTCTTCATTTTTTCTATTTGCACACCGATATTGCCCACTGTAATTATTCAAGACTAAACTTACGAATTTGACTTTCTATTAGAGCACTAGAATAGATTCCATTCATCTCTTTTGCTTTTTCAAAATTAACATACAGCTCCTTTGAATTGTTTTTACTTTTTATTCAGGTTTACTTTTTGTTAACTATCAGTAGTCAAAATTCAAAGAGGTCTAGAAAAGGGTCTATTTAGCAATTGCAATAAGATGCTTGGAAGTAGCATTAAATTATTAAAGATAGTTAAATTTTAATCCAGTTTATATACCATTCACCAACCTCACTGGCCTGTTTGACAAAAACGCCAGAAGAAGAAGAAAACCAGACAAATAGAAACAACAAAGAATCATCATAAAATCCCAATAACAACACGGACCACATACGCCCTTTTACTTTTGAATTTAATTCTTCTTCTCTTTTCACACTCCTTAATTTGCCTTCTCTTCTTCATCTTCTCCAACTTCATTTACATAGAGAAAGACGCAGAAAGACACCATTAACATAAAACTCCATGCATTTCTCAGCTCTAACATGGCTTTTTCTTTTCTTGCTCTTTCACGTCTCTCATTCTGATCCCAGAATCTCAGAAGCCGCTCTCTTTTGTGGCACCAACATAACAAAAACTTCGAACTATGTTCCAACTTTTGTCCGAGAAATGGAAAATCTTTCTCAAGTAATAACCACCACCCACTTCGCCACCTACCATGTTAATCTCTCCACCACTAATAATCATACAAGAAATTCTTCTTCTTCTTCAAGCATTTACGCTTTGACTCAGTGCCACCACGACCTCTCTCAGACTGACTGTCTCCTTTGTTATGCTGCAGCTCGCACAACTGTCCCTCGTTGCCTCCCTTCTCTCTCAGCTCGCATCTTTCTCGACGGGTGTTTCTTGCGTTACGATAGCTACAAGTTCTACAAAGAGTATGTTTCGCCTGCTCTTGACAATGTAACGTGCAGTAAAGAGAATGTTAGCTTTGCCAATTACGAGAATGAGAATGAGTTTCTCACGAGCGTTGGTTATGCAGTTGGGAATGTTACAAGAAGGGCGGTGAGAACGGGGAGTGGAGGGTTTGGAACGGCGGAAGTGGAGGGTGTTTACGCATTGGCTCAGTGTTGGGAGAGCGTCGGACAAGATGGGTGTAGAAGATGTTTAGAGAAAGCTGGAAAGGGTGTGAGAGGATGTGGGCTCAAGAGAGAAGGTAGAAGTTTGAATACCGGGTGTTATCTGAGATATTCCAATAAGAAGTTCTTCAATGATGATGGACCAGATGAAGATAGTCATGGTAATCAATCAGTTTTTTTTTTTTTTTTTCCCCTGAAATTTTCTAGTTTTGATTAGAGTTTTTTGGTATTTTCTTTGGTTATTTGGGTGTTGAGAATGCAGGGGAGAAGGCGGAGTTTTGAATTTTAAGTTAATTGACCGACATTGTTTGCATTAGATCTTGATTAATCACTTGCAAATGTTCAAAATCTTAATTTATTTTCCATGATTTACTCAGCAACCAAACACCTTCTTACTGTCTTTTGATGCCTGTGTTCCTGCCCGTTACAAGGGTGGGTTTAAGGATCTTGTATTCTTGTCTGTTACAGCACAAATATAATTCTACATGTTTCATTTCATCTGGTTGATCTCGAAGATCTAAGCACTTTATCATGTTTTGCAGTTTCTGGGCTCGGAATCACCATAGCCATTTCTTTGGCAACAGCTGCATTCATCATGGTCTTTCTCTTTGCAGCTTATGCAAGCTATACAAGAATAAAAAAGATGAAAGAAGGTACAAAATATTTGCTTTTGTAAATTCCCTTTATCAATCACTCGGGCATTAGCATTCTGATATATTACTTATCCCTTGCATCACCTAGAACGCAATAATCTTGCCCAATTCGCGATTCCAATGAAGAATTCTTGCTTGAGTTTCAAATATGAGAGCCTCGAGAAGGCGACAGATTATTTCAGTGCTTCAAAGAAATTAGGCCAAGGAGGAGCAGGTTCTGTGTACGTAGGGACTCTTCCAAATGGGAAATCTGTGGCTGTCAAGAGGCTGATTTTTAATACGAGACAGTGGGTAGATGAGTTCTTCAATGAGGTAAATTTAATCAGCAAAATTCAACACAAGAACTTGGTGAAGCTTCTGGGTTGTAGCATTGAAGGCCCTGAGAGCCTCCTGGTTTATGAGTATGTACCAAACAAGAGCCTCGATCAATTCCTTTTCGGTAATTGTTTACTCTCCACATATCAATCATTAAGGTCATTATTTCATCCAAGAAACACAGAAGAACTGTAATGTGATTCTAATTCTTCTTTTTGTTGCAGAGAACAACAAAACAAAACTTCTAAACTGGGAGAAGCGGCTTAAAATCATAATTGGAATTGCTGAGGGGCTTGCATATCTTCATGGAGGTTCAGAAAAAAGAATAATCCACAGGGACATTAAAAGCAGCAACATTCTTCTCGATGAAGATTTTACTCCAAAGATTGCAGATTTCGGGCTTGCCCGGAATTTCGCTGCTGATAAGTCTCATCTTAGCACTGGTGTTGCAGGGACACTGTAAGAGAAAAGATTTATTCACTTAGTTTTGTGCTTAACTTCTTTTCATCTAGCACTGTTAGATAAGAACAAGGCAATAACTATGTTAAACATTTGGCCTGAACAGAAAATAATTCGCAGCTCCTGATTAGTTATACAATGCAGAGACATTTCACATTTAAACTAAAATTTTCCTTTATTGTTTTCATTACTGTCTCATTTACAAGGTTTTATGTTTCTGTGATGCAGTGGATACATGGCTCCGGAGTATCTTGTTCGAGGACAACTTACCGAGAAAGCAGATGTTTATAGCTTCGGAGTACTGGTTCTTGAGATTGTATGTGGTAGAAGAAACAATTTGTATTCACAGGACCATATATCTCCTCTCCAAACAGTAAGCTTTACTCTCTCCTGCAAATTAAATTTGGTGATGGAGAACAAATTTATTAGACCATTTTTATTGTGTTGACATTTGAGATTTATTCAATTTTGGCCTCAGGTTTGGACACTTTACAGATTAAACAATCTGATGGAAGCAGTTGACTCTAGCCTAAAAGAAGAATTTCATGTAGAAGAGGCAAATAAAGTGCTTCAAATTGGGCTTCTCTGCACACAAGCAGAAGTTGCATTAAGACCATCCATGGCACAGGTAGTATGGATGTTAACGAGCAAAAACTGCGAGATTCCGATCCCACATCAACCGCCTTTTATGAGTACTAATGTGACCAAGCCAGAAGGTTCCACAAGGTCTCATAACACAAACAGTTTCATAGCAAATGCAGCAAGAAAAATGGAATTGTCATACACTTCTACAGAGTCTTCAAGTATGCCCAGTTCAGATGGGCATTCAAAAAGTGGGGAATTAATCAGAAAGTAAATTCAAGAACTAGAGACATTGAAGCAAAAGATTTCATTTGCCAACATTTTGAACAAAGCATATATACAAGAAGCCTTGTATTTTGATCTCCTTGGAGTTGCATAAAAGTATTATGGGACTGCACCTATCAATGAAGGTAAAAATATGATTTGACAATGTTTTTATGATTTTGGGTTGGGTGAATTCTTTAGCTCATATGTGTAAACATTGAATTTCATTTCAATTTGGGGGCATCCTTTGATTTTATTAAATTTTGAATGTAAATTGTAAACTATTAAATTAAAGCAATTTCAATCCCTAAGGTTTTTTTTTTTTTTTTTTTTTTTTTTTTCTTTTTTTGGGGTATGGTAATTGATGGTCTTTTCACTTCTCAATTCATCCTTCACTCCATGAGGCCACAAGGGATGATTAACCCCACAAAATTGATTGGATGGTCAAGAAGGTTTTGTTCCTTTTATTAACTTTTAGGTTCAAACTACTTAGAGTTATTGTTTGAAATATTGGGTTTGTAAAGTGTTTAATGAGTTTCAGATATTAGTTAAAGTACGTGTAAACAGGTTTAGACACTTTAGTTATAAAAATAAAAAAATAAAATTTAAAGGAATTTATATGGTTTAGGGCTAGCATTGGATCAAGACCCAGATGAGGAAAATTCAAAGGCCAAAAGTGGGTACCCTTACTGGCGGTAGTTAGAAATAAATAGATCATGTGTGACAGTTTCAGTTGATGATGGCCTGCCATGTGGCAAAGCTGCTGCGTCAGTGTGTATCTATCTGCTTAATTAATTATGGTAGTTCCTTGTTGAATAGCAAACGTGTCACAAAAAGATGAAAAAATGGATAAGTGGGTTTAATTTCGGCCTCACAAATTGTCCACCTGAGTTGGCTTTTGATTTGATGGGATTGTTGGGACCATTTTAACATGTCGTACTCTAATTATAATCTAAATTAATTCCAATCTAATCTGAATCTACATGTTTTGATGTTCTGAACATGGGGAAAACAATAAAATTGATAACATCGATTTAATCAATTAATCAATCAGTTCACACATGTTTCTAGACTTTACTGATTTAAGTTGTTTTAGTCAACTGGCGCAGCCGCTTCCCCTGTTTACCCCTCATAAATTTCAAACACTAATCCTCCCACTTCAAAGTGACAGAATCTCCATTTTCTATAATGGCTGTGCATCACCAATGAGCCATTGCTTATAAATTGTTCAAAGTCAGAGAAATGTGCAAGTTGGAAGAGATGCTAAACTGAAATTTTCTTTTAGCTTTTAACCAAATTNGTGTGTATCTATCTGCTTAATTAATTATTATAGTTCCTTCTTGAATAGCAAACGTGTCACAAAAAGATGAAAAAATGGATAAGTGGGTTTAATTTCTGCCTCGCAAATTGTCCACCTGAGTTGGCTTTTGATTTGATGGGATTGTTGGGACCATTTTAACATGTCGCACTCTAATTATAATCTAAATTAATTCCAATCTAATCTGAATCTACATGTTTTGATCTTCTGAACATGTGGAAAACAATAAAATTGACAACATCGATTTAATCAATTAATTAATCAGCTCACAAATGTTTCTAGACTTTACTGATTTAAGTTGTGTTAATCAACTGGCGTAGCCGCTTCCCCTGTTTACCCCTCATAAATTTCAAACACTAATCCTCCCACTTTAAAGTGACAGAATCTCCATTTTCTATAATGGCTGTGCATCACCAATGAGCCATTGCTTATAAATTGTTCAAAGTCAGAGAAATGTGCAAGGTGAAAGAGATGCTAAACTGAAATTTTCTTTTAGCTTTTAACCAAATTGTTGGAGTTAGAACAATAACAGGCCACGCAACCGCATTCAAGGTCCCGTTGCCTGGTTCGTGGATGGGGGTCGGTCCCGCTACCTGGTCCGTGGACAAGGGTCGATCCTGCAGTGGACGGTTTGAGCCTATTCCATGAAGAGCCGCTCGAGAGATTTCTCAATATAATTTATTCCTAATTAGGCTTGGATTTAGGAAAAGGAATCATTATAACTAAATTTTACTCTTTAAACTTCGTATATAAACATATTTTTCTCTACACGAGTGATAGCAAGTCATAGAGCAAACTATTTTCATTGTAATGAGAGAGGTGAAACAGTATTCCAATAATATTAACTCTGTTAAACGTAACATATTAATTGAGAAAATCAAGATAAATCGCGTGTATTATTCTTTCTCTTTATTTGTGTGTTTACTGTTTTTGGTTTCGTATTACTCTAAATTGTTTCAAATTCAATCAAGGATTTAAAATGACATGAAAAGTGAAGAGAAAAAGGAAATGAGACCTTAGATTTTGTGTAGAAAATTAGTCTATGAAATCAATCTAGTATTCAAAATCTTAAACACTGGTAAATGTGGTCAATGCAACAATGAACATCCACAAAAATCCCCAGTTTAGAACTCGATAAACAGGAGGTTTTCTGGGTTGAAAATGAGTTGATCCACCATTAGTCTAAACCACAAAGACTAACTAAAATGGTTAAAAAAATTCTGGGATTCAATGAGCAGTAGCTTCTAAACTTAATTTGGTCACCAAATGATTCATGTAAGTGTTAAAATTAGTGGTCTTGATGATAACATAAAACTGAAATCAAACATCGAGAATTCAACTTCAACAGACTGCACATGGCCAACACAGAAACAAGAAATTAAAAAGTAAATATAACAGAAGTAAGTAATACATCCTACTCAGCATCTTCCACCACAACACTGATTTCACCCTTTTCAAGCAGATCATAAAATTCCCTGGTTCGCTTTTGGTTATTCCAGTGGTGCATTTTCCACAATCCTCCGGCAATTAGACTAAGAGAAATCCCGTAGATGATTTCTTTCACAACACTGGGTCCCTTCAAAGAAGCATGTGCAATCTTATGAGCTGCTGCCATATTTTTTTCTGCAATTTCCACTAGTTAATTGAACATGATTTTGTTTTGTGGGTACTGATATAAATATAAGAGATATTACCTTTGTCTGCGATAACATGTTCTCAAAGCAATTAACATGAAGAAAACATGCATAAAAGTGTTTATAGAAAGCCCAGTTGCAACAATTTAAACATGAAATTCAGCAAAATCAGTAGAGCATTTATAGACAGGGTGTCAACCATGGAAATAATCAAGTCAATAAAACGTAAATCATAAATATTTCCACTCTGAAAACCCAGTATTTTTTCAATTGAATCAACAATGCTAATGTAATATCCTTTAATGAACCACATTTATCATCAAACGATTAATTTTTTAATAAAGGAAATCCCATGTTGTCGTATTTCTTAGATTAGACTAGATGTTTCAAGTTCTTGAGACTTTCGTCTGCAAAAAGAACAAGCTAAACTGCTATCTTTTAATTGCAATTAATACTGTTTTACATATATTGAGCAATCCAATCTAGAAATCTTCCAGCAATTTCTATTACTAAGTACTACCATTTCTCAGAGAGAAAAAAGGGCATCTGAATAAGATAAAGGACACTTGATGCTGGAAAAACATTCACTTTACTATATAACCATCATATGACCGAGGTAAATTATATCACTAAACACAAACACCTCGTGCAAAATATTCACAAGCTGAATAAACTTAATTCTTAAAACTTAGATTTCTGTAAAACTGTTGATATTCATGACTACTTGAGAGATTCATGTACTAAAACTATGATACATTCTTATCTTCAGAATTCCTATGCTTTAATTAATTGGTGCGAGAATGTGTAGGATTTATATCCAAGAGAGTTTATGGTAAGTCTCTTGATCTTCCTTGTGCCTAGATAAATTGGGGTCATTCCCTCCATTTGTAAAATTCTTAAACCTGTCAGTAGTAATATTCAGAACAAGTGTTTACTCAGTTCTAAATAATGGTAATCTAACTATTCTTCACATGCACAATTTCCTCTACCCCGTCATCGAAGCCTTGTCTAGAACACCCTTCAATTCACCAAAATCAACATTTTCTTATTATCTATGGTGACAAGCGGTGGACAAGCAATGTTCAACCATTCCCCTGATTCAATTCCAATATTTGATGGGGAAAACTACGAATATTGGAGCACTCAAATGAAGATCATTTTTATGTTGCAGGACTTGTGGGATTGGGATTTAGTTGAAGATAGTTATGAAGGAGGAGGAACACCTTTTTTATCTTCAATGGAGATGAAAGAACAACAAAAGGCAGTCAAGATTAGTAGTGCAAAAAATTTGCGGATTATTCACCAAGGAGTAGGTAAATCTATTTTCCAAAAATTATGAATGCTGTTAATGCAAAAAAAATGCATGGGATATTTTAGCTAAGTTTCAGCTGCAAAAGGAATGGACGTGAGCCTGAAGATAATCAACTCCAGGAGGAAATGAACGGCTGCACAGAAGGAAATGGAGTCCTTTCTGACGGAAATTAGGCAAGTGGTTATGTCCATTTCTCAGCAACAAGAAGGTGCTCCCGTAACAGTCGAGGATCCCTCAACATCAACAAACTCAGCGGCCTTATTACCCCCAAAAGAAACCAATTTCCCCACCTCGTACAAACAACTTATACCAGAAGCGTCAACTTAAGACAAAGATATGGAGATTGGTATTGAATTGGCATATGATTTCATGAAACTTCCTAGAGTTAAGATGTTTGCAAAAGAATTGACCATAATGAAATTCTGGAATCGGCTGGAAGACGAAGGAATAAGAAAAACTGTGTTCTTTGTTCTCCATACACTGCTGTATGAATTAAGCTAAGATGGAATCTGAAACATCCACGATTCCAAGTTAGCGTAGAAGGTAGAAGAAAGCCATGCACATCAAGTCACAATTCTTATAAGGAACTAGTAATGTTGAACTGCATCATCTCTTATCAATTTAACCTTCGACAATTATAGTTCTACGATTTTCTATTCCCTTCCTATTTTCAGCAACCTGTCTAATAAAAATTGTTGGAAAAATAATTTTGAAAATCTGGATTTACAAATAATTATCAGAATTTCCGGGAAGATGTTGATTTTCAGTTCAGGATTTTCATGTTATATTGGCAACATGCATGCATCAACAGACAGATTAATTATACTACTCATAAATAATTGTAATACCTTACTTTCTCAAAATAAAATAACAGTATTTCAGTTCTTTTCTAGTAGAAATTCAATGAACATTTCTCAGCAGACAAATAGCATGTATTATGAAAAGAAAATTGAAATTAAATCGAATTCGTACCAGTCACAGTAGGCAAGGGAAAGTAAAGAGCTAGCAGAAGCAGCGAAAATGAAGAAAAATGGAAGGTTCAAGAAAGCACATGAAATAACATAAAAGTATTATCTCCTGTAATTATATGTAATCGTGAAAATCTGGGAGTATAGCAACATTTTAAGAAAATGACTTTGGCATCTGTTGAATTTTAAAAAGGCAACGGTGTGCATGGCAGGCCCTTCGCCACTGTGCGTTTGAAACTCTCTGGAAGCTGAGAGAACTTCATCAATTGGGCTGGGTCCACCAATTTTTTATTTTGAGTTACACAAATATCACTTCAAAGAAACGGATTATCGGAATTTTATCTTCTGTTATATGATTAGGATGAAAATTAAATTTCTTTCTCAGTTCTTGTTAATTATGAATCAAAGATTCAAAATCCAGATAGAAAATTCAAGCGGAATTCATACTGATAAGAGTTTGAATTGAAACTACCATCTAATATTCTCATTATACGGACATGAGATGTTAAAGAAATGAAAAGACACTCTTTAGCCCAAGAAATGAATGTGCTTCTCTGCTTTTCTCTGTAGGTGCCAATGGAGAGCACTGCCTTCCTGATGCACTTGGAGAATATTTTTGCATCTTGGTGACCTCCATGGAGCTTCCTGCCTCTCCAAATCGTTTGTTGTTCTTCATCATAGAGATATCAAAGGATAGCATTTTCAGAGATGATGTCTCAGTTTTATTGGCGATGAAACTTGTGTCTTTCGGTATGTCAGAAGCACCACTGCAAAACTCAGACTGATTCTCCGATGAGTGTTCATTTATTTGAATCAGCGGCTCAGACTCTGTAGTATTTGATAGATTGAAGTTGTACATTGGAAAATTCTTAGATTTTTTCCGTATGTGATCAAAGATTGTGTCTTCCGTTAAAGTCTTCGAAATGGTATCCCCATGTTGAGATGGAAGCCCAACTTGAATAACAAAAAGGAAACGATTAAGATATACACACAATAAGCAGCCAATGATAATTCAATACTTGTTATGTTGTGAAAAAATGCACCTGATTTGTCCATGAGGTTAATGGTTCCCAAACTTCCAGCAGTTAAATGGCACTTCGGAATCAGATGTTTGTTGAAACCATGCCCTTTTTGTTCTGGCTCTTTTGGTTCTGATGATAGATGGAGCAGAGTCACTTGCGGAAAGTTGCTTACCTCTGTTTCTTCTGGGACATCTAACACATCAGAGAGTTCAAGGTGCTTCTCACGAGAACGCTTTCTTGAGAGAATCCAAGGCGGCTCTGTTGATGTAGAATGGGCATCCTTTGATGTAGTCAAGACAGGGAAATTCTTGGCTTTATCACGTATGTGCTTAAATATTGTTTCCTCGGATATGATTTTGCAATCATCGTCTTCGGTTTCACCAGCTGACTTACCTATGGTGATTCAAAGTAGAAGTGGTACTTTTCGGGAAAAAATATACAAGGAAATAGTTAAAATTGGAATGTATATAATCCTAATGCTATACCTTCTCCAATCTCCTCATCCAGAAGGTTGAAACTGGGTCTGAGATGGAAAACTAAATGATTTAATTATTAAAAAAAAAAAAAAAATTGTTGAAAATCTACAGATCAGAAGAAAGACTCACATTGAACTATCAATCCTTTTATTAAGCTTCTGGTGCAGAGTTTGGGTTGTGGCTTCATTTTCATCTTCAACAACACATACTTCCTTGGGTGGCGGAAAAAAGGAAGGCTGCTTATTTCCACGTTTGTGATTCACAGTTGAATTGTTCTCCTTAACCACTAGTAGTTTCTGGTGGATATCAATACCAACTGAATAAACAGCACAAGATAAAGCCTTAGACACTTCGTAATATAATCATAGCAATATCTGCTATTGTGTTAGAGCTTAACTGTATTCTTCAAAAATAAGGTCAGCTTTAACAGTCAGCTTCCCTTGTTGGGGATTTGATGAGAAAATAGTCGTGCTGTAGGGGCTGCAAAGAAAACCAAGCACATCAATTTGGAATGATGCGTGGGAAAATAGAGACATTACTAAATATTGTAATCTAAACGGAACAGTTGATGAACTGTGCTATAGAACCAGCAACCTGAGCCAATTTTTCTTGAAGCATTTTACTATAGAAATGAAGTTTGCCTTGTTATCACAACCTAGAAAATTTATGTACTAAATTTTTTTTGAAATCTCCAGTGATCATGAAAAAATAGCCGGAGTAGAACATTGCAGCTTTAGGATCTTACTTGCTCAAGTCATTATATGTATAACTTCTAGATCCAAGTGTTCCAGAGTTCAATCATGTGTGGGTACATTCAGTAAAGTGATGCTTCAATTGGTTAGTTATTGGTACAAAGAAAACCTAGGTTATAAGTTCGTGTATTACCTGGAGAACTCATCGACTCTGCTGCAGCCAATACAGAAGGAGTCAAACAATGTGTAAATGATGTAGGAAGCATGGAAACACACAGAGTAGTAAGCATAAGGACCAAGGAGTCATTGTTTCTAATAACAAAATCCATTCAAGCAATCAGGAACTTTTCCAGCACAAAATTCAGGCATGTATATATATAAATCATCTGCCTAGCAGGAACTCCTTGGTCATATGCTTAAACTACCATGCTTCTATGCAATTAGTGAACGTAAAAGAATAAGTGCCCAGCACCTTATTTTCTCATGAAAGAGAATCAGGTTATCTTCTTCTGCACCAACAATCTGCAAATAGTATTAAGAATAAATAAAACAAAAAATTCAGTAATGCATTTGTATTGCATTATTGTTAATATCAATGAGGCTTGAAGAAAAGGCTGTATACAAATTCCAGAAGACGCACCATATCAGCATAATGTCGTTTGGTAGATTGTTCAGACTGTGATAACCTAGTCAATGTTACTACCAGCTTGGACATACCTTGTCCCTGGCATTTTATTCCTTCAACCTTGACGTCAACTTTTGGAGGTAGAGACAGTAGAGACTCCTTGATATGGTTTCCAAATGGATATTTTCTACCAGTGACTATTTCTATCCTCCTCGGATCAGCTTCAGCTAGTGTTTCAAATGATTTGACTCCCATTGAGTGCAGAGCCTGAATAGATTAAAAAAGAGAAGGAAGTTTAAATACAAGATATTCGCAAAATTTAGGAATCATAAGTCTTCTATTAGAAACAAAGAAGTCAGCAAAGAAAACCTTTGCGGTCACTATTCCAATTCCAGTTAATTGTTTCAGCAAATATGGGCTGTCATCCCAGAGTCTTTGATATAATGATTTAGCGAGAAGGATTGAGTTTACAGCTCCTCTGTAATTCTTTTTGTATATGAAGTACTCTTTCATGCACTTAGCAATTCTGCACCCATTTGTGCATATAGAATTCGTGTCCTTTGACAAGCACAAGCAGTTCATCATTCATCAGTCAAGCTTCAAGAAAAATTAGAAGGAAACCAATGTACTGAAACTTCTGATGTTGTGAAACCTGAGTCAGAGATAAATCATGAACGGAAGGATCCCCAGTTAAGCAATCATTTGCCAGAACAAATATCTTCTCTTCTCTGGTTTGAATACGCTTTTTCCGCTTCCCTTTATCACCATTAATGTGAAAGCGAAGCCGTCCATCTTTGTCAATATTTATGTCATTTAGAAGCTTCTTCTCATTGCGCCTAAGTTGTATCCCTTCATTTTCAGTAAATTAATAATTCATGACTCCTGTAATTGACCTTTTGACAAAGGAGTGCAAAAACAACTATTACATGAATATACATACAAGCAATCTCTTCAGCATGGCATATAACGTGAAGCGCATCTTCTAAACTGCAGTTTACTTGGGCCTGCATAATGTGTTTCATTGTATTGAATTTCAAATAGTATTTGGTCATCAATCTTCCAGGCTCTAAAGACATGGAAACAAATATTATTAGCGCTCAATGATATGTTCATCAAAACTGATAAACTGCTTTATAAGTTTATATTACCTAGTGGTTTCAAGAGGAAACCATCTTCGTCAGTCCAGATCATTTGATGGCATGACAACTCATTAACTTTTTGAACACAAATTTCTGATGACAAGACATTTATAAACAGTGAGGGAAAAAAAAAAATAATAGCTCTACTAGTGTGTGATTAAAGTACCTTGCATATGCTTCTCTATACGGTCTCTGGAAATCACTTTCCTAACTGCATAATTTTGAGAGTTCTGTTTATTCACAAAAGATTCAGAAAATCAATTAGATGGAAACGAATGTCTTGGTGATAACCTAAGATACCCACAAATACATGCCTTTTTCATTCTCACATACAAATACGAGCACTTCATCCATTCAATTGCCCGTGTGATATCAGAAACAGTTAGTTGAACTATTTCTGCAGTCAAGTGTTCTGTCACACATGAAAGCAACCTAAAGTAGCAAGAAATGTAGACCACCTAATTAGTGGACATGCACAACTTTCCAAATAATATGCATCCAAGAAACCAAATATTAATAAAATTTAGAGTTATAAGCATACTGGGATTCCACCATTTCACATCCATTCAAGAGATTCTCATATAGATGAACCTAGGATCATGTATAAAATCAAAGAAGCTGAAATCAGAAATCAACAAACAGGAGCAAATTAAAGACAGAAAAGAAATATGCAAAAATGTCATGGAAAGGGAAGGAGAGAGTGAACTATTAGTTACAGTATCTCTTCTCGTCATTATTATAACAGTTCCTGTGTCATTGAAGGGTGGCCGCCCTGCCCTTCCACACATCTGCATTAAAGTTGAATAACTTTGGATACAATACACGATAAGCTTGAACATCAAAGGATACAGGCATGCATGCAGTTATTAAAAGCATTTTTCTTTCTTCATTCTCTTTCTTTTTGGTGCCGAATGGTCATTCTGAGGGTGCATGTATGCCCCCTCACAAATCTTAGAACTGCACCCTCCTTGCGGAAATTCCTCACCAATCAAAATGATCCGTGATTTAGAATCATATATATTTGTTGGAATCTTCTAAAAGTAAGTTCAATTTCACATGATTTATTGTTACAAAGTATACTGAAGCATGTCACACACCTGCAGTATGGTGGATCGGTCATATTCCATGTAAAGACCTTTTTCCTTGTTGCTGCAGAATAGACGAACTTTGGTAAATGACAATGGCACATTGTAGACAAGACCTTTTTTTGAGGGTCTTATCTTTTAGTATTACTAACAGTTGCAGTGAGTCACAGTTTGACATACTAGTGCTGTGTTGATTTTATTACTACTGTATGTGCTGGTAGGTTAATTCCATGGGCAAGAGTATTTGTTGTGCACAGAATTTGAACATCTCCCTTAAGAAAAAGTCCTTCAATGAGGCTGCGATCTTTCAGGCAAAGTCCACCATTGTGGTAACCAACTGCAAAAATGAAATTTGCATAATCACTGTACCTATCATCAAGTCAAGGAAGGAAAAAGCAACAATTTCAGCATCACGAGAAGAACATCAGAAAAAAAGATAGCTCTATACCTCCAAAAGGAATATAAGATTGCATTTGTTTGTCACTACATGATAAAGAAGCTTCCCTTAGCCTCTCCTGCTGTTCACGGTCTCTAATAAATGGATTTGAATAACCAAAGGTCATTGCTGTCTGCGTGAGTTGCTGTGCAGCTTCTTGTGCTCCTTTTCTAGTTGAACAAAAAACCAGAGCAGATTTTCCTCTTGAATATTGCATCAGAATATCTGTCAAAAAAATTTATGAATAAATAATTTTCTTTATTTTTTTAGTAGGTAAGTCTTAAATCAGAAGACATAAACTAATTAACCAAATAAAAATTAATAAGAAGCTAAATAGTCCAACTTACCAAAAATGTAGTTTTGAAGACGCTGCACAATGAAATAAATAATTAGAATCAGTAAAACGAGAAGATGCTCTATTGTTTAACCAATAAAACTATTAAAATAAAAGAAAAATAAATTTTGAGAATCAAGAACTTGCCTTCTCAAATAGAAAATCATTTTTTGCTGGGGCATAACCTGCATGAAAATAATTTATTGGTAATAGTGCATGAAAAATGAAAAGAATGAAAGATTCATTCCATTATAGATCTTGAAATTGCAGAATAGATAAAACCATACAAAGTAAACTCTGAAGAATATATTTTCTCCTAATGTGTTATATAAGTTTTATTTGTAGAAATAAAGTATAACATTTGATAAGTGGAATTGAAGGCTTAAAAAGTCTACACTTTAGTCCATACTATCCTAAACCAATAGACAGTCGGAGGCAACAACAAAACATTGACCAGAATCTTAAGCAGAGACAAGTTTTGTGTAAAACATTGAAGAGATATGTGCATACCAAAAACTTTTGTAGATAACTTTACTGGCCTCATCTCTTCTCCAAACCTGGGGAAACATAAGAAAAGCTAGATGGAACCAACCAACACTATCAATGAAGTAGAGAAAATATAACATCATTTACTGACTACAAAGGTACCTTTTAATTCCTTGAACAGGAACATTAAGCCATTCCGCTGCACTTGTTAATATGCAATTGAGTAAATTTATAATCACTTGTCATCGTTTTGAGTATAAAAAACGTAAATTACCATATTAACTCCTTAAAATGAGCAAGAGAGAGAATGTAAATTTACCAAGGTCCTCAATATTTGGAATTGTGGCTGACACGGCTAGAAAGCGGACTCTACCTAGAGGACATGATTTCATCTCAGGGTAACGAGAAAGCATTTTTATTCTGCTAATTATTGCCTCCAGAGCTGCTCCACGTGGATCATTCAATAGGTGAACTTCATCAATAAGTAGAAGTGCAATGTCACTGAAAAAGCTCAGGCCACCATCCTTTATGCGATATCGAGTTACCGCATCAAATTTCTACACAGGAAGGATTCCATTTTTGCCATGCTCCAATAACAATCAGTAATTCAAGGAATTTAATACACACAAACATGCGCACAAAGAGAGGGATGCATATTGTAATCTCCACAGCCACAAGTGAAACAATCAGTTACAAATAACTTGGTTCAAGTTGTGCAATAGGAACCTGGTAAAGGCAGTGAAAAAATGATGGAAAACGACTTAACAAAAGGTGGTACAAGAAAGACATGAACTTGAAAATACCAGTAGTTGGAAGCATCTTTTGATTAGTTGAAGTGAACGTATTTCCATTTATCGAAAGTATTTTGTTTAAAAGCATTTGCATTTCTCTATAACATGAATAAGAGTGCTCACCTCTGGAGTAGTTAGGATAATGTCCGCTTCTTGTATGTTCCTTGTGTTATAGTATTCATTGTCACCTGTCAGCTCCAAACAGTTTATCCCCCATGATGCAAACTTCTGGCTCCACTCACGGAGCTTCTCCTGTACTAACGCTTTGGATGGGGCTATATAGATCTTCAGGCACATAAAGTGAAAGGCAGAAACGGTAAGCTTATTTGAAATATATGTTCTTCAATCCTTAATACAACAGGTCCAATATCATTAAGGGTCCAGTTAATTTTAAGTTGCTGTTCTATGAAATGATTGTGCATCAACTGCCCAAATTACTCTGAAACTATAGTCTAGAAATCTGGAGGAAAAAAGAAAATGAAACACCAAATTAAATATATGCAACAGTTTTTTGAAGAAAAAGATGAAAAGGGCATCTATACAGGTATCTGTGTTTCTTTAAAAGAAGAAATTGAGGGAATAATACCCTCCTGAATGTACTGGGTGTAAAATAAATGTTTGGAATTTTGCCAATAACATCACTGAATGTGAGACTTACCGTTTTAAGGGTTCCCTTTATATGAACAAACCTCCCCTCAGAGATGAAACTTGTGAGAAGCCTCAGAATGCACAGCTCAAAGAGTACTGTTTTGCCACTTCCAGTTGGTGCCGAGACAACCATATTTACATCAGAGTAGAAACAAACAGGAAAGCATTCACTCTGTAGGGAATTAAAATATCTGCAAGTGCACAAAATGAAAACACAATAAGTATGACTGATACCAACATATTGAGGAAATTCTGCACTGGTCAAAATGATGACATGAAACTGTGCAAAACAGATACATCAACAAAGACGAAGGGGCAAATTTTCTTGATTATTCTTTGCATAATGACAATTCAACAACATATTCTTATATCACAAATAAATAGAACAAACTACAGTAATAGGTGACTCAAAACAGCCATATAAATAAAACCAAATATCTGTATTTGAACCAAGTTAAATGAACCCTAAAGCTGCAAGAGTATCCAACATACAGATTATGGTGTCAAATTGATAAATCCTAATTAACAGAAATTGTACCTGAAATTAAAAGCTGAACGAAAATGTTCAGGCAAATCAAGCACGGACTTCAATGTATATGAATCCATCAGAATGAACTCCTTTCTTCACACTGACAAAACCAAATATAAATGACAGCTAAAATTAAGATCAGTTTTGAAAAACATAAACTACTCCTTGCATACTGATGAGCAAGTGCAGGAATCGATTCATTGCAATTATAGAGGTCACCAATCCAATACTACAATATAATTCCACACAACAAACTTAATAACCACAATCACTTATAAATAACCATAGGAAAAGCAAAATTCACAGAACATAGCCTACTTTTTTAAAAGAAAAAAAAAAAGTACCAAAAGAAGAAGAAAATTGCCTAATCTTTTTTCTAGCATTTATCTACCTAGACAACAATTATAAGCAAAACAAGGAAACCTAAACTCACGGGAGATCTCGTAACAGGCACAAATGGAAACCCTAGTTTCTCTCAGACACTCAATATCTTCACAATTTCATCAATTTGTTATAATTTATTACAATTTGATCGAGGAACTCTCTTGATACGCTAGATTGCTATGATAATAGCAAATCTCAATCGAAGAAAAACAGATAAGTTTACAGATAGATAGGAACCTTGACAGCGAGAATTGAAAGGTTAACTATAGGAACCTCGAGAATCGAAAGCTTGAAACTCCGAAATATGATATGGAGAGAAACTGAAGATGAGACAAATGAAATGGAATTGGTCGGTATTTATAGTCCCAGCGTCCCAAAAGGTGTTGTTTTGGCGGGAAACCTAACGAGATCCAATTTGTCTTCTCCGCTGATTAAATTTTTTTTTTTTAAAAGAAAAAAAAACGTTTGTCTATTTAAAATAATTTTTTTTCATTTATTCCAATTTTAATTATTATTATAAATATATAAATAGCACTGTTTTAGAGAATGATGTGCGATTGTGCGGCACCATGAATTTTTTTTCTCTAATTTTGGACGTAAGAAATCGTAAAATGATAAATTATTTGTAGAAAGGAGTAGAGTGAACTAAGTCATTTTGTTTTATTTAATTAAATTTAATAATATAAATTAGTTTAATATTTTTTATTATAATGATCGAGATAGATGAATTAAAATAAATGGATAATAGAATGTTTTTATGTTATTAAATATGTTACATGCAAATAAATAATAATGTACAACTTTTTACTATGATCGGAATTTTATATCATAGATTACAATAAAATATTAAATTGAAATTATCAATCTTATACAAAACAATTTTTGAAAACAAAAATCGAATGTAATTCTTGTAACTTGTTAGAAAAAAAAAAAAAAAAAAATACTATCATTAACATGTAGTTTAAATTAACATGATATAGGATTGGCAATCCGGAGCTGCATTAAGAAAACAATTGAGGAAATAATTTACAACAAAAATATCCAAAACATCTTGATTCCTATCTCCCATTCGACATATATTTAACAATATATATCATTATGTTAATTGAATGGTCTCATGTAAGTATTTCTCTACATCCCTAATACACAAGGGTAGATATTATTCAAGTAAAAAATATCCCCATAACATTTCAAATAAGTTGAAGAATGTGTTGTTACTACTTGTCGGGTCAGAAAAAATGTGAAATTATATTTCTCTACATCCCTAATACACAAGGGTAGATATTATTCAAGTAAAAAAATATCCCCATAACATTTCAAATATGTTGATGAATGTGTTGTTACTACTTGTCGGGTCAGAAAAAATGTGAAATTATATATATATAAGAATTAATGGAGTTACTACATTATTGAAACCACAAAATTTAGAGCAGAAATTTGGATTCTATTATAATTTCCCACTCCAAGCTTTACAAATGTCTTCTTGCAGGTCCTGCTAGCAATATGTAAATTCTCCTTCAGAATCTTGCTCTTATATGAAGATAGTGAACTTCACAATGAATTTAAGGGAGCATAATAGACCTTAAGAGCTTTACAATCCAAAACTTCCATCTAATTCAATCCCTTTCCCCTCCTAAATTTCCGACTATAGAAAAACTTACTTTAATCTTGCAGCTAAAGCTTCCTTCCAGTTTTATATCTGATATAAAGATGGGCGTTTTCCCCGGTTTTCCAAGGCCCCGCCCTGCCCCATACAGGGCAAGGATTCCACGAAAAATCAAGGACGGGGAGTCGAGGACCACAAAATTCCCTGTCCTTGGGGACGGGGATGGAAGTCTGACCGCCCCAGGTCCAATAAATTATCATACTGCTCTTGATATATTTAAATAACTACAAAATGCCCTCCGTATATATATCCACTTTTTCCACACACCCAACCCTGAACATTTTCCACCGCTCAAGTCTCCTCTCCACACCCACAGCCAACATCGTCACGCCACTCAAGTCTCCACAGCCATAGCCGACGCTGCTCAAGTCTCCACACCCACAGCCGATGCCACTCAAGTCTCCACAGCAGCCAAGATAAATAGAAAACACTTTCGAAAACAATTTATATTTTGTTGGCTTGTTTATAGGACAGTGGACAGATGGGAGTGAAAGGCTCAAATTTTATTATAATTTTGTTACATGTAAAATACAGGTTTCAGATGTCAGTGGGATAATTACATGTAAAATACAGGTTTCAGATGTTAGTGGGACGCCCGTACGCGGGGAATGGGATGGGGAAAAATCCCCGTTGTCCAGGCTCCCCACCCCGTGCCCGTCTCTATTTAGTCCATCTTCCAATTTTGATACCATCTACAAATTCTTTTAAAAGAATCGATAAAAATGCTGAATGCTGAAGTGGGATAATTATATATTTTTCATGAAGCATACCACAAAGTGAGCTTATCCAGGCACCTTTGAAGTGACAATTCAAGAAAAATCGATGATCCAACAACAGAATCGAGGATATCACGGATTTTGAAATGAACCTGGAGGTCAGAAGCAATTCCTTTAGAACTCAGAAACGATCTATTTGCTACAATTATAAACACAGAATTATTTACTTCAAGATCTGAAGCTAAAAATTGGGATATGAGTTTAGGTCTACCTCATGAACACCCCACAAGCTCCCTCCTTCAAGACCCATACCACAGCTTTTGAGATCTGGACTCCGATAACACTACATAAACGTCTCATTGAGAATCCAGCTTCTTTGAACTGTCCTAAAATGTCATAATTCAATTGTTATAGGATTCTCATGAACAAACATTTCAGACATTAAAAGCTCCAAAAATCCATAGAGTTGAGCTGATTGAGAGTGTGTTCTGTCTTCAGAATAGAACGAATGTATTTGATTTCTCACTTCAACCCAACTACATCCTCCGCTCTTCTTCAGTCCTTTCTTCTTCATTAACTTCCTTATATTCATAACATCGGTCCATCTGCCAGCTGAAGCATAAATATTTGACAACAAGACATATCCTTCTGGGTTTTTGTCCGTCTGTTCCCAAAGCTTTTTAGCTGTCCTCTCAGCTATCTCCTCGTTTTTATAAATCTTACAACCACTTAAAAGAGCTGCCCATGAATTGGATTCAGGTTGAAATGGCATTGAGTTAATAAAATTTTCAGCTTCAGAGAGGCGTCCTGACCGAGATAGCATATCTACCACACAAGTATAGTGCCTTCCCCTTGGCTTTATATGATAAATAGTCTCCATTGAGTTAAAGTATTGAAGTCCTTTGTCAACTAAACCAGAATGAGAACAAGCAAACAGAACTGATGATAGCATGAGCTCATTTGGAGCAACCGATGTTTTCTCCATTTCCTCGAACAAAATAAGAGCTTCCTCTGCAAAACCACTTTCTGCAAGTCCTTGAATCATCACAGTCCAAGTGATTTCATTCTTTTCGGACATTCCATCAAACACCAGCTTAGAGCTCTCAATATCCCCAGATTTTGCATACATATCAGTAAGTGCAGTTCCTACAAAAACATCATACTGAAGCCCAAGTTTAACAACTTTTCCGTGAAGGTCCTTCCCTTTTTCTAATGAGGCCATGCACGCAGAAGCACAAAGCACACTTGAGAAAGTGGACTTATTCGGAATTTCACCTGACAAAAGCATCTCATTAAACATTTCAAACACCTTATCAAATTGTTTATGCTCTAAATAACCAGAAATTATGGCACTCCAAGAGATATTATTTCGCGTGGGCATATAATCAAACAACTCCTTGGCTTCTTTCATTTGGCCATTTAGACTGTAACCACTAATCATGGAATTCCATGAAACCACAGTTTTTGCCACGATCCAGTCAAACACTAATCGTCCATCTTTAGTCTTGCCACATTTACTGTACAAGTCAATAAGAGAGCTACAAATGAAAACATCACCATCAATCCCAATTTTCACTACATGGGCATGTATGTTCATTCCTGGTTGCAAAGCCTTAAAACTAGCCAAAGCACAAAGAATGGTAGAGAAACACGAGGTATTTGGTTTAAAAGCATCTTGAACCATTTGGCGAAAGAGTTTCAAAGCCTCTTCAGGATAGCCACTCTGATTATATCTTGCAATCATAGCACTCCAAGAAACTTCATTTCTTTCTGGCATCTCATTAAAGATTTTACGCGCTTCTCCCAAGTCTCCCATCTCAACATACATATCTAGTGTCGCAGTCCAAGAAACAACATCTCTCGTCTCCATCTGATCAAATACTCTCCTACCCAAATCAATTTCACCCATCTTCACACATAAACTAATCAAAGAATTTGAAACTGATATATTCCCTTCAAATCCAGCCTTAACAATTAACCCAAAAAAACTCATGCCCAACCGAAAATCACCAAACACTGTACAAGCTCTAACTATAGAAGTAAAAGTAACGGCATTCGGATTAACTCCAGATTCAAGCAGCTTCAAGAAAAGCTTCAAAGCTTCAAAACTATACCCGTTTTGAACAAACCCACTAATAGCTGCAGTCCAAGAAACCACATTCTGAAATGGGTTCCTATCAAAGTACCAAATTGATTCTTCAACTCGTCCATGTCTCATAAAACCAGAAATCAAAGCCGTCCACGAAACCTCATTTCTTTCAGGCATTTCATCGAACAACCTTTGAGCTTGGTCAAGGTTTCCCCGTTGAATATTAGCATTAATCAAACAGTTATGCACAACAATATCAAACCCGTTAAACTCCTTTACAACCTCGTTAGCTTCATGAGTTTTTCTACTGTTGAGGTACATCAGCAGCAGCTTAATAGCCACAAATCTCTCTTTAAAAATCCCCGTTTTGAGTACATGAGCATGAATGGTACTTCCTTGAGTGACCAAGTTGTGGTTTGTGAAGTTCTTTAGGAGGGAAATGCATGTTTGTAGGTAAGAATTGAAATTTGTTTTTGTGCTAGTAGTGAAGAGAGCTTTCAAAGCATTTTTCATCTTCCAAGAGGCAGTTTAGTCAGTTGATGTGGTCCAATCGTCCCACAATCGAGGAAGTTTTGAGGGAACAAATAGGACACGTCGTTGGTAATATGGAGTAATGGATGGCGTGCCGTTTCCTGATAAACGACGTCGTGAATTTTAAAAACTATTTACGGGTGAAGAACATTTTAGTCCCTGTAATTTTGGTGGTGTAAATAGTCAATGACACCTTTTTTTTTCATGAACAAAATCATCCTTTAATTTGAAAAACATTATGTAAGACTAACGACTCAAGGGCATATTTGACTTTCTCATAAGTATTTAAACCTTTCGTGTTTTAAAATAAAAGGTCATGTTTGTTTGGGATAAATGAACTAGGGAATGCGAGTCTTATTCTTAATCCCATAAAAGTGGCATAAAGAATACTATAGTAGCATTCCTTTCGATTTACCCTTTTTTAAATTGTAATTTCCCATTTACCCCTAAATCAATATATTTAAATTTAAATTATTTTGATAAAATATTTATTATTAAATTTTATTGTTTATCACCTATTGGTGGCGCTGCCGCACTGGTACTATTGTCGTTGTTGATACTGTTGCTAGTGGTGTTGTCATCCCTAGCCAGCTAACTTGCATGAACTCGTTGGGAGGACTATAAGAGGCCAGGATCTGTCCAATTAGACAGATTGGCGATCTCTGATTCTCCACAAGTCAACGATGACACAGGTAATGTGGCAGAAATTCACCGACCGACGTTGATTGGCTTATATATTTTCGAAAATTTTTTTGAAAGATTTTGAAATTTTGAAATATGATGCGTTTTGTTTAGTTATTTTAAATAGAATTTTTGAAATATTATTATAAAATTGAGTTGGGTTATTATTTCGAGAATAGGATTTGAAAAAAATGTTTTTAATTGAGTATTTAATTGAATTATTATTACGAAAATATGATTTGATGTTTGGTAAAGTATTTAGGATAATATATTATAATTAAATAAATTGTAAAAATTGGTGGCGAATCTCGAGTTTTGGGAGCCGGTGGTGGCGCTCAAAACTAGTGGCTTGGGGTTGGAGGAAGGTGGCCCAAGGTGGTTCGAAGAACTCGAAAATGGTGGCCGGTGATCATGGTCGTACCTGCTGGGCTCGATTTGTCGGAGGAAACCAAAATATGGTGGTGTTTCTTATGTCTTAAGCAGCGGAAGAAGGTGTTTTTGGGTGGTGTTTTTGAATGCGGGTGGAAGAGGGTGTTATTGTGGTTGTAACATGAAAAAGGGTGGCAGTTTCTGTTGTAATTTTTGAAGAAGAAATATGGAAGAGGGTGGCAGTCGCTGGTTTTGATCTTTGAAGAAGAAAGTGGAAGTCGTGGTATATAAAGGTGGAAGCCGTAGATAAATTGAAGAAGAAGGGGAAAAAGGAAGAAATAAGGGAAAAAAAAAAAAAGTAAACTGCAACGCCACCTAAATCAGATTAGTCAGGAATCAAAATTTGATTCCCTGAATAATGTCCTAAACGTGTATTTTAAAAATCTGACTAAAAAAATTAAATAGAATACTGAACCAAACACGGCAGATTTTAGAATTTTGAACTTTTACATTTAAACAAAAAATAAAAATGCATATTTATTAAATAAAATGTATATTTATTCAATAGAATTTATATTTATTAAATAAAATAAATCAAGGGTATTTTTGTCCAAAAACAACAAATTATTTTCCATTCCATCAACATTCCTAATTACAAACTGTTGATGCGTGATTTTAACACCAACTAAACGCACGTGTGAAATGCTGAGCTAGCCTAGAAGACACACGCGAATGGGGGATGGAGAATGTAAATGGTGGAGAGACAATGTTTAAAGTGGTTCAGATGCTTAAACAAGCGAATCCTATGTTCACTGATATTGTATTTATGTTTGAAGGGTCAGGTTGCTACCTGGCGAGCTGATTTTGGAGTATTAAGAATACAAATGAGGGAGAGAGAGTAAGCTATTATAGAGCAAAATTAGCTAATCAAGAGTCAAATTAAGTGAATCCCACAAACGGGAGAGAAGCTCTCTATTTATAGTGGGATATATTGAGGTAATGATTACTGAATCCGTAAAACGGGGTCAGGTACCGTGCAAATCCTCCTTTGCGTCTCGTTGTTCACCTACTCGCATGATTTCCTCGGTTCATACAGGGGTTGGACACGTGGACAGCCTTTAGCCTCACCCCAGTCTGGCGTGCACCCAATGCACTGGCAGGAACATACTGCTCACGCCAGCATGCGACGTGGCCGTGCCTGAACGGCTGTAGGATCTGCCTAGACTCTGACCATTTATGCTGACTAGGCTCTGCGTCAGCCCTACTTTTCCAGGCATAACAGAAGTCCCCTAATTTTTAAGGTTTGAAAATCGAACCTTGGAAATTATAAATGCCTTGATTTGACGTGTTTGAAGAGATGCTGGTCGAAGCGACCTGATTGCGAAGGAGGTCAAGAGAACATTTCCTCGCATGCGACCTGGATTTGGGTACCCAATGCTATAATGATGATTCCAACTTGGATGGAATCCTCGACATGTTTACACTTAGCAGCTTTCGAGAGGTTAAATGGTTGCTGCTTCGCAGCCGATGTCCGTCGAGGTCGAAGGGTCACATCGCTTTGCAACCGACATGAGACGATATTGAAGAGTTACGTCGCTTCACAACTTACAAAACGATGAGTGTTTTTCATAATAACCTCTTCAGATGTTATCCGTTGCACTTTTGTAGTGGATACATTAAATGAAGTACCTTTTGCTCTGACAGACGTGTCTTGAGCGTAATAAGTGCTAGCCATGCGCATTAAATGTGAGCCATGCTGAAACGACATTCCCTATCAGAGCATTAAATGCGGACTTAGGCGCATTAAATGTGGAGGAGGGAAAACGTGTCATCACTTGAGTGTTTCAACGGAAGGGGATGACGATCTGATTTCTCGAGGTGTGACGGTCACTCTTCCTCACTGATTCGTGACACGTGGTTGCGATCAACAGTCAGATGTGTTTTCTGCCCAAACGTCGTTTGACTTGGGGAAACCAAAGCGCCACTTTCTCAACTATATAAACCCCAAGCTCTCTTCAGGCAAAGTCACAGTACTTTCATTCTCAGAGAGAGCAAGAAACTTTCGCGAATTTTGGTTCTTTGTCTTCCAGAGTGGTGTTTGTCTGATATTCGGAGCAGAAGAGTCAATCTTTCTCCTGTTTTTGGTTTGATTTTGCTTTCGACAGTTGCCATGCGACGACTGTCCGTTGGTAGCTCATCGGAGATGAAATATCCTCCATTGGGTCAGGTCCATTGATGGTGGCCCTTTAAGCATTCTGTTAGGGTTTTTCTAGGGTTTAGGGAGGAAATATTTATTCTCCTCCATGTCATCGTACGAGACAGTGTACGAGGACTGAATGGTTCCCTGCTTGTCGCTTTTGCAAACCGCAGAAGAATGGACCCCCCAACTACCAAAGCTGAGGAAATGACCAGTTCGCCCATGCAGGATGCTCCTGCGGGTCCCATTCGAGAGATCTTCTCGGTACTTACCGAGGAAGAGCTCGAAAGGGTGGTAGACCAGTACGCTATCAGCGTTGAGGTCTTCTGTGATAGGACACACAACTTGGTATTCACCACAAGGGTTGGTCGCGATATCCGAGGACATTTTCAAGGGTAGGGGTTGATCCCTTTCCACCCCTTTGTCAGGTCGATCTTCGATCATTTCGGGATCGTGCCAATGCAGCTCACACCGAATGCGTACATGATTGCCGTTGCCATGTACATCGCGTGCCGTGAGAACGGATTGGGCGAGCTGACCGCAGTAGAGCTCGATTGCTCATATATTCTAAAAAAGAGCAAAGACAAGGATTCCTACTACTTGTCCAGGCGAACTACTATAGAAGTGAGGATACACAGCTACCCGAGTAATGTAGGGCCGTATGAGACGAAGTTCTTTTTCTTTCGTCACGATGGCATTTGCCGCTTCTAGGAGTCTAGTAGGTTCTTTTTCCTTTCGAATTTATTGACTTGATTTGTCTTTCGCTAACGAGCTGTTTATTTCTTTGGCAGTTAACAAAACGACCAGTTTAGAGCTACTCGCAGACCCGGACAGAATCACAACCTTCGGTTTTCTGGCCGAAGCAAGTCGCGACGCGAGGTTGCTTGTGACAACCGCAAATTTGCAAAAATACGGTTTCTTCAATGCAGAAGCGACCCTAGAGACCATACCGAGTAAGCTTCTTAACCTTATCTTTTTTTGACTTCGCATGTAGTGAACTGTTTTACTAACAACATTCACATGCAGCGACCATGCCTTCCAGAGTGCCCAAGTCACCACGACCAAGGCAATTTTCCTTCCCCCAAAGGGGTACCACCGGACCAGCTGGAGCAGCTCCCAGTGGTCCCTCCGACGGGGGCACATCGACAGTCGATCCTGCCCGACCTGAGGGTGCTGCTCGCCCTAATCAGAAAACCACAGCCTAGAGGCCTAAAAAGAGGCAGCAGATTCGGACCGAAGAGTCAGAGTCCGAACCAAAGGGTTTGGGCATCCAGCCCGAGAGGTTGCAACCCTACCAAGCGTTCCGCTCGGGAGGGCCAGTTAGGGACGCGACCGGTATCTCCATCTCTCCCGGGGGTCAGCAGGTAGGACAACAGGCAACTGCAGTCCCTCGGGAGGAGGTCGGGAAAAAAGCCGACAGGGGGCACTCTACCCGCTATGGGCACTAGCACCCTTGTCCTATAGTCAATGGGACAGCTACCGGACCATCTGCAGCCGGTGGTCTTTGCTAAAGATGGAACAAATGGGTCGGGTTAGGCAACCCTAAGCCGGCCCGTAACGAAGTGGGTTGAACCCAGACTGCCAAGATGGTCAACCCCGGCAGCAACCCCCGGGCGGGCCGGGTTGCAAAACAGCAACCCACAACCCGGTAGGTTACTGTTTTGTCTCTTTTGAAAGGGACCTGCCAACCCGCCGGGTTGGCTGTTGTCAACCCGACGGGTTGACTGTTACGGAA